GAGGAATAGGGACGGGGCAGTGGAAGTCCTTACCTGGGCTCTGCCACTTGCTGAAGCAGGGCAGAGAAGGGACCCTTGCTCTTTCACACTGCCCAGGGCCCCTCTGTCCTGCCTGGCACGTGGCAGGGAGAGTTGCACTTGGGTTAATCAAAGTGCCAGGGATAGTCTTACCCTTTTCCTGAGATACAGTCTGAGCCTAGGTCCTCTGCCTCCTCTGTCACGCATTTTAGGGGAACTGGGAGCATCATTCTTGTGGGGCTGTTGGACCTTTTAGGACATCTCAGCATAAGGGGCAGTGATTTGTCTCCCTGTACACAAGAGAAAAAAGCTGCAGGAAAATGTAAGTTTATCCCCTTAAAAATTGGCAGGCAATGTAGGCAGCTGCAGCATCTGAAATTCTGTTTCTAACACTGAGTAGATTTCAGCTAGTGTCCCATTAAATCAGACCTTAGGATCCTTTAAATACACTTGCGTGATTATGGCTAACCCAGTATAGCTAAAGCTGCTTTATTAATTACATTGACATGTTGGGTTGTAACATGCTAAAAATATCAGCGCTGATAATCTTGGTCACTTCTTATTTTCAGCACGGGTGCGTTCTTTGTACGTACTGTCAAATCACCGTGCTGTGGATGGACTAGGGATATCACAGGCAGGGCTTTATTATTCCAGCAAAGGTATTTCTTTGTTACTTCAATAGGAAACAGAAGATAGGCGATAAGCTAACAAACTCACAATGGGTGGAAGTTCATTAAAAATATATGTCCGTGTTGTATGTATGAGGTATTTAGATGTTAGGCCCTTAGAGCAGCAGGTGTTTGTACAGTGCCATTACAATAGGGCCTCGTGTGTCACCAGATTTTCAGTGCTGATGGTAATCAAAGATGACTCTTTGTCATCCTGGCAAGTTAGGTCAGGTCAGGGAGCTGGTAGCTGTGTACGGAGAGCAAATAGCAATGGAGACGGTCCCTTGGCTCCCAGAGAAACGGGAGTTGTCACTTCTGCTGTGTCGGTCAGATGGCAACCTCAAGCAGAAGGGACAAGTTGTAGGTGCTGTAGGAATTGGGGTTCAGAGATTTTGCATATCCCACCTCTCTGCAGAACCAGGCTCTTCCCCTCCTGGGAGAAAGGAGGGCGACTCTCGGGTGTGACAGCATTCACGTCACTCCTGCAAATGCTTCATCTCATTGGCAATGTTTTTGTTGAACTGAGGTCTCTAGGCAGTTGTCTGTAGTAGTTAGGAGCCTTGGTGGCACGCTCTGCCACGCTGTACCTCTCTGGTCTCTGAGCAGGCTTCATGCAGAGGCTACAGGTGTGTTAAAATGGGACCGGGCAGGGAACTAGAACAAGTGCCTTCCATGCAGAGGTGAGCGTGTTTCTTTTCAGCAATCTGTATGTCAGAGGTAGTATGTTGCTGAAGTTATTTTCAAACCACGTTTGCTTTTTTTTTTTTTTTTTTTTTCAATTTTAAAATAAATATTGTATTAAGCAGTGGTCTGGCTTCGTAATACACAAGTAGGTCAAAGTGCAGTCATGACTGTTTTGCATACCACCTACAAATACAGCTTAAAAATATGTCGAGTGACAAATTAAATGGGGAGAGCATGTGATGCACTCTGATTCCTTGACTCGTGCTCAATTCTGGAGCACAGATTAGCAATGGCATGTTAAAATATTACACCCCTAGCTTTTGACATCACATTCACCGACAGCCTTTTCAGGAAGGTGATGGCAAACTGGACTATTTTCTAATACTGGGAGCAGGTTGAGTCGATTGGTGGACACACTGTGCATTTAACCTTTGCAGTATTGGAGACACAAGAGCTTACATCTCTAAAATGATTGCTTCACCCTCAGTTTGAAACGTCGTGGAGGTAAAGCAGCAAAGTTAGCAGCAAGCTAGGTGCACAGAGGTACCATTCTGATCATCCCCCTGGTTCTCCTGAGATAAGGGAGTGTCAAAAACCTCTCAGGTTTGCTGCCCTGCAGATAATTTCTTTAGGAAATAAGCAGCTGCATTGAAAAGACACTTTAGCTTGTTGAAAACATCCAGCCCTGTACATTTTTTTGCTTGTTAGGGGCAAGGGGCCCTGATTCCACCGTTTCCCCGGGTCATTCCTGGGTCTGTGGGAGCAGAGTGGGAGCTGGAGCATCACCCTGGGCACAGATGCACTTGTGAGCCTCCTCGGGAGGCCTGGGCTGCTCCCCCCTCTGCTGGAAGCCAGAGCGCTGAGGGTACACAGCCCGCCTGCAGCCAGGCCCGCCCTTTCTGTCTTTGGCACGGTATTTTTGACACATAAACTACCCCCTCTGCGTGTTCCCACGCACGTGAGGATGTGTGCACAGGCAGGAGGATGACCAGGTTTGTGAAATGCAAACGCCTCCTGGGCAGCGTGAGGATACGGGATACTGTCACGTACGGGATGGCTGTCCCATGCGAGCTGCACCCAAGCTTAGTTAGTCCAGTGCCGGCCGTCTGGGCGAGCTGTTCTCCCCGCATCACCTAAAAGCGCGATCACACTTTCCTTTCTCTTAACAGATAATCCTGAAATAGCCAGCAGGAGTGGAACGGAGTGTCACGAAGCCTCCCTGCGGACGGCCAAGCACGGCTACTGTACATGCTACCCCGTCTCCTCCTCTCTAGAGTTGCCACAAACTGCATGCTAAGTCAAGAATTTGTTCTTATGGACAAATCACAAACTCGAAAAAGCTAGTGCTGCTATGTCATATATGAATATTAAATATGGTATGCTTACTATACTCCAACCTAAAATAGTTAACTACCTGATACCAGCTGTGATGTTTCAAGACATAAAGGGTAACATTTAGTTTTAAAGATTTTCTAAGCATAGTTTAATTCTCGCAAATATTGTCTTTTCTCCATAACTTTACCTAACAGAAATAGTCCAGTTAATTTAGTCTCGTGAGATTGTTTATGAATCTTTCGAGCTCAGCAATAATTGAGTTAGATTGGCGAAAAACTTATCCCAGTTGCAAGTTTAGTTTTCACCCAAGCTATGATTGGGATTTTTCTTCTCGGTAAAAAAAAAACTTGGTTTTGCTCCCCTAGCGAGTGGATTCCAAGACAGAGGAAGTGAAACACAGCCCAGTGTCCTGCACATCACCCTGCTAATCTGAATATTTTTAGACAGAAGTCCAAAGTAAAGCACAAATTCTTTAGATGCACATGGTTGGTGTTTAACTTGTATGGAGAAGCTGCATTTGAATCATAGCAGAATAGCAGAAGAAAATTTAAAAATTTTGCACAGTATGAACTTCGTACCCCTTTCAACCCCCAAAAGAACAAAGTCTTGAGAATATTATTTTATGAGTATATTTATAATGTTTTTAAAAGAGACTTTGCAGAAGTGCCTAAATTTTGTCACATCAGACTTGATGAAAGTGAGCCTGATGCCAACAGTCAAATCTCACCAGAAGCGAATAATCTTTCAAACTCATAGTCAGGTTACCAAAAAGATCTGTTAAGAAGTAACTTCTAGAAGTATAAAATCAATCAAACAAACAAACAAAAGACTAACAAAAGAAAAGGTGAAAAAGAAGGCTGTAGATGAAGAGATTTATATGACACTCTAATTTAATTAAAATTCAGTTGAGTCACTGAAACTTCATAGGTGACTTTAATCTAGGCTATTAACTGAACGCTAAGAATGTAGAATGAGATTCAGTTTAATAAATCATTACTGTATTTGCATTTTTTTAATTGGATTATAAGATTGTAACCAGATTAGAGTGGAGAAAAAAATAGTACTTTTAATTGTTTTTCTTTAAAAACATATTTTATGTCACTAAAGTATGAAGATATCTTTAATACAGTTATATACATATTATATATACATACATACATATATATGGATGAAGCAGATTTTAATGTTGTTTACTTTTTTAAATACTTTGTTGATTTACAAGGTAATTATATATGTATAATTAAAATTTCATTTGTTTGATTTAAGATTTGTTTCAAGCACTATTGTACCAAATATTTCATATTTCACATTTTATATGTTGCACATGTATCACATAAATTACATAGTTTTTAAATTATTGTTTTAAAAAAACAAGACAGCTGTTATAAGTGGATATTATGTATAATTGTTTGCAGCATAAGTTTTCTATGTGGACATTATTAGTGATTGCAGTATTTTAACTTAACCTCTTCAGATTGATTGTAAACTATTTTAAACTTTGGTAGCACTGCCTGTTCTGAACGACTGAAGGCACTAACCATAGAATTGTTTGTCTAGGAAATTATTTTCCAGGCTAAATCTTGTTTGTCCGATGTCTAATTACTATCTATTTATATATAAAGCTGGAGATTTGATCATCCGGAAGGAAAAAAAAAAATCACAATTCGATTGTAAAATTAACATAGTGCTTGTAACGTTGCATTAGTTTTAATTTGTGGAAAAATAATGTATCTTAACTTGTTACTTTAGCAGTTAAGGTATCACCATTATATACTATGAAAACACTAATATTTGTAGACTTTCTCAGTCATTATAACTAGGTAGTTGACACTGCAACTTGCCTATATCTGTCAAAGTTGTTTTTATTTTTTTATAATAGTTAATTTAGGCATTTGGGTAGCTTACTGTATAATACTAAATGGTAAATTATCCATGTTGTTTAAATATTTTATGTAGATAACTCTTCAAGACATTGTTTTGTGTGAACTTTTTATGTTTCAAAATAACTGTTATTCTATGTTTTTTACAATTAATCCAATACTACTATTTTTGCCCATGGATGACGAAGCTTCAGATACATCAGGTCTTTCATCCAGATAAACTGACAGACAAAAAGAGAAAATGTATTTTTAATAAGAGATCCACTTTCCGACTTTATGACTTTGTAATATTCCTGAAAACTGTACAAGTACAAACCTATGCTAACAGTAAGGAGGCAATTACAGAGATGTGCAAATATGTGTACAACAGATTCTGCATTTTATTTATTTATAAAGTAATTTTATAGACTATTTCAAAATTTGGGAAGATCTAAAACTATTTTTCTGTATAAATATTATTTGCCAAAACTTTGTTTATATTTTAAAAAAAGTCTAAAGAAAATGATTAAATTTTAAATGCTTTGTTTAATTAAAAAAACTACAACAAATAAAACCCCCTAAAAGAACCATGAGATGGGCCAACACAGAGACAGTGAATACTGTAGCTGGGACATGGTTTCAAGTTACTTGAGATGTCTCAGTGTTTATTTTCTTCAAAGGATACAGCACCTCACCAAAATACCTTTTTGTTTGCCTCTCTCATCCAGCATAATTGACAACGCGTACAATATTTCAAGTAACAGTTAAAAGAAACCCCCTCCATTCACTCTTTTTCCGCATATAACTACTAGTGGTCTGTTAAATAGCCATTCTACTTCTGTTGTGACGTTAAAATTCATTCACCCAATGTACAACCACTGAAATAAAAAGAAGCATTTTAAAATGAGAACGGAGTCAGGGTGATCCTTTCTTGTGCCGTGGCTCTGGGAAGAGAGGCTTGGGGTAACAAAAACAGTCAAAAGTGGAGGAGTCTTTAAAAAGTATACAATTACTTTATTTTAATTTTTATTTTTTTATTTTTTCCTTAATTGCCTGTTCAAGTAACAAATCCTCAAGTGCAGTCCCCAGGTGCAGGATGCGCACAGATGCTACATAAGGAAGCACGTACCCTTCTCCTGCTGGAGACGGCATGCCAAGGACACCACGCGGCATGGCTTTAGCCCCAAACAGTCCTTTTGTGCCCTTTCCGTGTGCCCGTGCGTGCTGGGGTGCAGGCAGGCAGTGGTTATTGCCTGTTCAAGTAACAAATCCTCAAGTGCAGTCCCCAGGTGCAGGATGCGCACAGATGCTACATAAGGAAGCACGTACCCTTCTCCTGCTGGAGACGGCATGCCAAGGACACCACGCGGCATGGCTTTAGCCCCAAACAGTCCTTTTGTGCCCTTTCCGTGTGCCCGTGCGTGCTGGGGTGCAGGCAGGCAGTGGTTATCTCAGTGGTGTGGCTAGCAGATGCCAAACTGTGGAGGGCTTTTTTTGCCAGCTCATCCTCTGCATCCTCTTTTCTTGCCTACATCTCAGGGAGTATTACACCGAGAAATGATCCCTGTTGTCTACTCGTTCCTCTGGGGAGAGCAGCATCGCAGAGGAGTTCCATGCCCAAGGGCAGAGATCGCATGGCAAGCTGGTGACAGAGAAGGGATTAAAACCTCTGGCTTGCAGCTCCATGGTTTCTTCCCACAATCTTCTCTGATTTATTTTTGTTTTAAATACTTTAAAGAAAGGAAATACTATTGCTGCAGAATCGAGAAGAGTTTGTGTCATAAAGTTGTATACCTTGCATCAGCCCCGGGGCTGGTTTGAAGGAGCCCAAGGTCGCAAGTGATGTGGAAAACCACCAGGTCAACCAGCCAGTTTGGATGTATCACAAGTGTACTGAGCCAGAAGCCTGCTGAGCAGGAGCAATGTGGGATGGAGAGGAGATAGGGGGATGGCTTGCAGGGACAGAGAAGGACTGCGGCACTGGAGGGCTGCAAGGGCATTGCAGAGCAGAAGCAGCAAATGGTTCAAATTCAACTTCTAATGATTCAGGAGACGAAACACTCTATTCACACTTTGTTATGTTAAACCCCACCCTGCAGTGACTTTTGGGACAGTTGTCAGCTGCCAAGAGGGGTCACGACATCTTGATTTTTCTTGTCTAAAAACTGCTTGGTTTCTTGTCAACTCTGGAACTTCTTTGTCAGCGGAGAAGTGCTCATGGGAGCCAAAAGCTGTGAGGATCTGCACCGAACCGGTGAACTTTGTACGCCTCTGTGTGTGGAGCGTACCGCCCACAGATAACGTCAGTGTTTCCAAAATGAGGCAAGATACGTCTAGAGAAGAGACTTTAGAAACCTTTGCTATTCGCCCCCATCACACATGTCCTCACAGACAGACGGTGGCCACAGTTTTGGTGCTGAAGGCTGCTCCCCTGCAAGGAGCAGTCCCTCGCCCCAGGCCAAGCGCGGCAGCAGCATTGCATTGCTCAACATCAGCCTTCTCTAGAGGGGACCGGCCAGGTCCATGCTCACAGCGTTTGGCTACATACCTTCTCTGGCCCCACATGGTGTAGCCGTGACCATGAGGCATAGTTATTATGTTTCAGTATGTTTTGCTTGTTTTTCAGGTCAAAGGTCTGAAATAATCTGAGCGCTGGATGTTTTTTGCAGCCCACTGGAATTAATGGCATGAAGTAAAAGGCGATGTGATATTTGAGGGGTCAGAGCCTGCTGGGATAGCCTTGCATGTCTGTATACAGCAAAGGAAGCCGAAACTGGTTGAGCATTGTCCATGCTGCATATGGGCAGTGTCTGCTGAGCAAGTTTACCAAAAGAGCAGTGGGTTTTGTTTGAGGAAAAGTTGTTTCACTCCAGAAGAGAGCCTAGGAACAACCTGACTTTTCTGTATGGTGGGTGGTGACAGAAAAAAGGACTTGTGGACAGGGCTGCGTGATGGTGTGGGTATTGAGTCTTCTGCTAGTGGCATTTATTTCATGAATTCATGGGTCCCCAAAAAAATGTCTTGCCTGGAATTGCTGAAAACCTTTCTTGGCATCTGATCATATGCATACCAAGCTCTTTATGCCTGCAATCATTTCTCTAGCCAAGCCTTTTGTCAAGTAACCTTCCTTTTTAATGTCATATTATTGACAGTTCTGGAGGCTTTTTGCGTGGGTCAAGATGATTTTTATTGCTGGGGGGTGTGTGTGTGTGAGGGCAATACCACCTCAGATGTTGCATTAAAGCAGTTACTGTTGCTGGTATGTTATGTATTTGAACAAACAGGTATAGAATATATAGGTAGATTACCTGTGAATGAATAAGTTATAGAAATATATTCGAAAGTCTTATTCTTCTAATTTAGTAATTATAGAAACCACAGAAATTGCAGAAAATACATTACATGTTTTAAGAAAATACCTTCTGCCACGGGAGGGGAAAATCACTCAGAAATGTGAAAGGAAGATATTGGTATGAGCTGCTTATGCAATGTTGTGTTGCAGTTGCATTATTTCCACCAAAGCTTCTTACAGAGTGAGGAAGATAAAATACACTTGGCTTTATGATCTAGGAAAGTCACTACAGGAAAGACGCCCTGCTCCTTTCATCTTCAAAGAGCTGGATTTGGATGATACTTCTTTTAAGGAAAACAAATTCTCCCGAGTGTCCTCCTTAGTCCAATTGTCACAAAACAGTAAGGGTGTAGTCTGCATGGAAGGTGGTTCCTCAGAGGGTCACAGGACAGCAGGATGTGGTGGTGACGAAGGCGACCACAATGGTGTGAGGTTCACCTTGTAGGAACAGCCCCCAGGGATGGTCACACAGGTGTGTGCCTACGCTAAACTGAGCTGTGTTTACATTTGCCGTGAATGCCTCTCCTTTTCACTGAGTTATAGAGGGAGGAAATGGTTTTATTTCATTGTCTTATGGTTGTAGTCACCACACTGAATGTCAGTGGAGCACGTTCAGAGCTGTTAAAAAGTTGGTAGCTGGCAGCAAGCTCAGGACTGCAAGCAAACAAGTTTTTTGCACTTGGAAAGCTGTTTGGGTAGCTGTCAAGTATCATTTTGCGCACTGCAGGATACTCACTTGGCCTAAAGCTGCTGCTATGAAGGAGCACAGGTCTGGATGGATATCTTAAGTCTGCCAGTCCCATGCAGGTGTCTCAGATACTCTACAAGACCTCAGATGAGTTCAGTCAGTGAATCCCACCTGTTTTCACAAGGGACCATCAATCATAACAATGGTTTTGATGGATTTTAGCACACCATCATGCACAAGAAAACACAAAAATCATGAGACTGGCTTAAATTATAGCTAAAAACCCTGTTCTTCTCTGTAGGTATCTGGAGTACATTCAGCTTCCATATTTAAGCTTTTTCTCTCCTATAAGATGCCTATAAATGTTATCCTGTTAACCACGATGCTCGTGGTTAGTTAGGGAGATAAAGTTACAGAACAACTCGTAACATTCTTGAAAAAGAAGTCATAAAAACTGACAACATGAATTTTACAGATTTGGTGAATTCAAGATGTTATTATCTCTCATCATGTCATAGGGAAGAATTAAGGAATATGGTAACCCTTTGGCATGTAATATAATTTCTTCAGGCTTAATCTTCACATGGGATTTATTCAATTATTGTTATACCAATGGAGGTGTGATGAGTGATGAGTATAACTTAGTCTGAACACAATTGCAATGGGATAGACTATTCCTCTATGCAAATAAACTGTTTAAATGTTTCACGTGGAACAACTGTACCCTACTCTATCCAAGGTAGTTATGTTGCTTTAATTTCTCTCTCTTTAAGGCTTCGTAACAAGCTGTCCTTTGGCAGGCGTTTGGTAGAGCCCACACATTCATTTCCAGGTTTAAGATAAGTGGTTAAAGGCAAGAGTCCTGTTTTGTGTCCTTCCTCAAGCCAAATGTGCTCAAAAGAAAAGCTACGTAAGCAAGTACAAGCAAATGAGGACTTGTGGAAAAAACAGTGGTCAGCCTTGATCAGATGTCAGTAGGCTTTCCAACTGGTGTGATAGAAAATGTTTTCCTTTTCTATTGACCTTAAAAGGGATTACTTTATACCCATTCTAGGGGAAATAAATGAGGTTGAACTCTTCTAATAGAAAATGAGTGCCATTCTCCATGCGCATGAACAACTTTCTGATCCAGACCAATTGCTGGAGTCGTCCCTGGGCTGATGGCACTGCCCATTCCTCAGCTGCTGTCTCGGAGTCCATGGTAAGTGCTTACGGGCGGCAGCAGAAGCACACTGGCAACTTCTCCTGCTGTTGTGGACTTTTCATTTTATTTCCTTTTAATGGGATGATGGGAGAGGCTGAACTTCTTCAAGTCCAATTTTATTTGGAGTTGCAGGTATGTATGGGGATTTTTGGTTGGTGTTTTTCTCCCCAACTTACTTGTTAGATTAATCATTCATCCTTTGTAGCTTTTAAGGGCCAGGCTATTTATATTCCAAGTTTGCTTCGGTCATCTTTAAATGCACATTTCAGATGTGCTCGTTTGTCATCTAGATCAGTTCCTCTTACTCTTCACAGAACTTATTCTGCAGCACAGTATTTCAAATACTCTGCTTTATGAACTACAATCTAAAAAATAATTTACAACAACATGCAGGTCCTCCTAGAAGCTATGCTAAGGCACATGGAGGACAGGAAGGTGATTAGAGACAGCCAGCATGACTTCACCAAGGGCAAGTGTTGCCTGACCAATCTAGTGGCCTTCTATAATGGAGTGACTACATCAGTGGACAAGGGAATAGCTATGGATGTCATCTATCTTGACTTCTGTTAGGCCTTTGGCATGGTCCCCCACAACATCCTTCCCTCTAAATTGGAGAGAAATAGATTTGACAGGTGGACTGTTTGGTTGATAAGGAATTGGCTG